TTTAATTCTTACTTAGTTAAATATTTTGTTAGAATATTGTATATCTAATTAAATCTCATTTGTTTACAGGCTGACTCAGTCATAATCGATGATATGAACGTCTTGAAATTAGGTAAGAAAATTTGTGAACCAAATTACAGGTTTTTATATTTTTCAATGGTTTTAGGATCATTGTGACCATAATCTCATTTTTTTATGGTTTCAAAAAAAAACTATTGAAGATCCATCATCCCTATTGTAATCATACTAATCGATAATAGAGTATGTAACTACTTGCAAGTATTTCTTTCTTTCTATTCATTAAATTTGTAGTAATTGATTTGTTAATATCTGAATGGATCTTTCTCGGAGTAAATTTTCAGTGATGAAATCCGATAACCGATATTGCTTACGGTGTCCATAGAATTTGTATGGTGCAACGTAAGCATTGTCAGAAGAATGGCTGACGTTAGACGTTTATTAGAAAATTTTACTTATTCTTTCCATTAATTATGTCAAGTAATTCACTTGTTAAAACATAAAATTTTCAAATTAAATTTGTTAAATACGATAATTAATTTAACATATTTATTTCTAAATTCGTTACATTTTTTATAAACGCACTAATAAGATAAACATATATAGAGATATAAAATATTTTAAATAATATAAATGAATCAGTTATAATTATTTTTCAGTATTAATAATACGAGTTTCACTTTTAATATTATTTATTATCGTTTATTATTGTGACGTTCACTTAAATTTTATTTTCCTAGTTTCCATCGAATAAAAATTAAAATCTACTTGAAAAATCGTCTCGTGCTTGTTATCGCGAATGTTAAGAACATTGTATAAATAATATATTTAATAACTTCGAAAGGATTTTGTGGTAAAATTCATTGAATTCGTAATCAATGAATCCTTAAGTGTACATAGTCTGATATCAGTACGAAAACGAGAGGTATCGAATATATGTTTACCCAATGGAAGATCGTTGCTTTTACGAGATTCGTTGGTATTACTATTGGTTGAACGATGAAAGAGAGAAAGAGAGAGATAGAGGGTTGTGAAACGGTCCGTTAAACAGACGTGTTCTCTTAATTAATGGTATTATTATCGAATTAACATTGAGAACCGCGAAAAACGTGGAGTACAAAAAAGCTCCCTTGGTGATTTGAAATCCATTAACTTGTTCTCGCAATACTTATATCTATCTATATATATATGTATATATACATATCTGTACATTCATTTATCTATCCCTTTTTCCATCTCATCCGTTTCCATCATCGCTCTTACTCATTACAATTATTAATTGTCATTTTATTTCCATTTTATTATACGTATATGGTTATAACATGTAACAGGTATGCATGCACGTATTATATATAACCTGGGGTTATAATTATATCAACGATTTTATGGTTTTACGCATAGTGAAGTTTTTGTTAAAAATAGGATTTTCTTGTTTTTTTTTAATTTTTAATTTTTATTTTTTTATTTTGGTTTTCGAGTTTTCTTTTCGCAAAGAAGGGAAGTGATTATTTTATGGAAAATGATAAATATATTCGCTTTAAAATCATGACCATCGTTTTTATAACATTGTTTATTGTACAATAAATTTAAATGATTTATATGTTTTTCTTTTCTTTTTTTATTAAAAATCACGTTTATAATTAAATTTTCGTTGTATTTGATCGATACGATTTTTGGTTGGGTTAGAAATATTTGCATGGTTGCGAATTGTTTGATTAAAAAAAAACAAAATAAAAACGAGAGTAAAATTGGATAAATACGAACAGAGTTTTGTTTTACTTCCTTTTTTTTAAACAAAACAGAATGATCATTTTCGAAAATGATCAGGTACTTTAAAAATTTGATAATATATGTTTTACGTTTTCGTTGTATTCGAATTGTTTGGATGTGTGAAGTTAAGTTACAAATATTTGCACACGTTTTCGAATTATTTAATGAAAAACAAACAAACATGATTTTTCGTTTAATTCCATCTCTTTAGTTAATTTAATAATTTAAAAATTAGAATAATCGTTAAAAAAAATAACTTAAAATATATGTTTTACATTTTGGTTGCATTCGATTGTACGGGTATGCAGTTATGTTAGAAATATTTGCACTTTAACGTAATTATTTGACGAAGAGCAAACAAAAACGATAAAATAAAAAAGAGGGAAAGAGAAAGAAAGAAAGAGATATTTAACAAAAATTTACAGTCAGAGACTGGTATAATTACAATAGGGCCAGAGTGTAGTTTAAAAACCATGTCTATATATATATACCATTTAACGCTTGGTCAGCGAGATCACAGTGGATTTGAGTTGAACGTTGAAACGACCTGTTGATAAAGTAATCTAGTCAAACGGAACGAAACGGAACGAAACGGAATTTTGTCAGCGAAATACTATAGTAATAGTAAGGCCCAAAAACCGAAACAATTTCGTCGAATAAGCGATTTCCTCATCGAGTTTGCAATCATTGAGAAAATTGTGAAAGAGAAATAGTTAGATAGATAGATAGATAGATAGATAGATAGATAAATAGATAGATAGATAGATAGTTAGATAGATAGAGAAAGATAGAGAAATAGGGTGGTAAAAAGAGGGAGGGGATGAAGAAATGTGCCGTCGCCGAGGGAGACGTGTCCTCGTTCGTGAATCTTGTTCTTCCACTTCGTAGGTGCTTTAATCTTCTTCGAACGTCGTAGCAGTGATTTTGATAAAGGAACGCTCGCGGAAAGTATTATACAGAACGGAACATTTTTGATGGAAATTTCTGATATTTTTCTAGTCGACGAGTAATAATATCATTCTAATTTTTTTTTAATATTTTATATATTTTCATTTTTTCTTAATTTTTTTTTTGTTTTTTTTTGAAAAAAGTTACATTTTTATCGAAAGTTGCTATGCTATTTAATAGATTTCTAATAAATTTCATTTGTTAAATATATATATACTATAATTAATGTTTTGAAATATATATATTTGTTGAGAGTATTACTTGATTTCTAATAAACTTATTTTATTAAATATATTTATATTACAGATACCATTTATATTATTTAAATTAATTAATTTTTCATTGATAATCAATATATTGATAATATTTTCTAAATTTACAATTAGATTTATTAGATTATAATATTTTAATAATTTTTAAATTATATTGTAAATTGAGTTAGTCAAGTGTGTACAAATGTTGTATCAATATGTACAACCCTCAACCCCTTTGATTCAACTGTACCTCTATTACAAATATCGATTATTTATTTTACAAAGTATCGAGAACGAAAAATGTTGAAAATAATACAGAAACAAATAAATGTAACTATTCTTCTGTTTGTTTTATTATTTTCTTTCGTGTTTTCATTCTATTTTAAATCAACAATTAAATCTTTAACTAGTAAGTAAATCATTTCAGTAGAATATTCCCAGTAAAGTTTCTTTTCTTTCTTTTCAGAAAAAACTTTTCATTTACGTCTATTGCATTACGTATACATGCATTATAATTAGATTAAGAAAGTTTTGATAGTTTTGTAAAACTTTCTTAGTTAAGATTGACGTCTATTAATTATTTTTATTAATAGATCCGATTTATTCTTATGACACCATTACATTTAAGTATAATATATTTTTTGATTATTTATTCTATTTATATTACTTTATTCTCTTATTAGAAAAAAAATAAAGATAATTAAGAAAACGTCTTTAAAGATATTAAATATAATTGATTAGCTAATAATTTGAATGAATAATTAAATGCAATGCACAAATTGGATTTAAATGAAATTTATAATTAAAGAATAGTTAGTTGTAGTCTTGCGAGAAAATGAGAGAGAAAAAAAGAGAAAAAAAGAGAAGAAAAAATAGGGAGAGAGAGAGAGGGAGAGAGAAATGGTTTATCGATCGATTGAGAATCCTCAAAAAGGGAATATATTTTGTTAATAAGATAGAAGAAGATGGTAAGAACAACCAATTTCTCTCTTTCTCTCTTTCTCTCTTTCTCCTTAGATGTTGGATAACTTAGCTATTTTGTGTATCGTTTAATCAAGCCACGGAGTACGGCAATTTTGGCCTGAGCCATTTAAAGTTTAAGTAAACGAGTTATAGCTCGTTGGAAAAGCTAGAAGACCCGAAGACGGTCTCTCGTTTAAATTTTCGTTAGCTCAAGGACGACAGTTTTCGTTCGTTCGTTCATTCGTTCCTTCGTTCATTCCTTCGTTCTACTTACATACACAAATACTCAAGTATTTTTCAGATTTTTCTTTCATCTTTTTCATCAATTCTATCTCATGACGAACTTATTACTTCGTTAATATTTAATAAATAATTATTAATTTTCTGTCTTTTTTTTAATTTACTTTTACAGTATCTTATTCCTTATAATTGAATTTCTTTCTAACGATCATATATATATAAAAGTCGTATTGGGAGGAGGAAGGGGGTGGGAAAGGGATGAATTTACGTCATACGTTCACTTGCCGTTGTAAATAAGTTTGCGACGTTGAAGGATTCTCTCTGATCGAATAAACTTGGGAAAAAAAGCAAAATAAAAAAAAAACTTATTTCTTTTAGTTCAACGTATGGTCTGAGAGAGAGAAAAAGAGAGAAAGAAAATTTTCGAGTAACGAGCATCCATCCGTTGGCTCTTTCATCTTCATTTGAAACGGTCTTGAAACTGTGAGTAAGACGGAGAGATCTAAAACTAACCAAAAAGATAAAAATAAAAAGAGAAAGAGAGAGAATGATAACCTAGAAGCTAAGACTTTTCCAGTCCTTTTGTATTTTTTTTATTATTTTCTTTTTTTCTAAAGTCACCACTTTGAGAAACGCGAGAAAGGAAAGAAAGTAAAAAAAAAAAAAAAAGTATGGGAATCAATTCGTCTCTCTTACCGATAGATCGAGAAAAAGGGACACGACACACACACCCTAATGATGTTGCTAGATTTTTATTTAACTCTAGTGAAAAAGAAAACATAAAATACTTTTTCTACGATACATTACCTTGTGCTTATCTACATGGACCGGTCTCAAGTGTGGGTCAAAAAGTAGCTTGTCGGGTTCGATATTGATGGGACTTTGTCGTCTTCCTTTGCTGCACAGGGACCATTGTGGATTGATCAGGCCCCAAAACGATGGTCCTGAAATAGAACAATCAAATCATTCTTCTCAGGATTTTTTTTAACAAAAGTTTACTACTACGATTTATCTTCATTTTTTTTTTTTTTTTTTTTTAACTAATTCTTAACAACATTCTTTTATTTCGTTGTATCTTTTTCTCGTTGTGACTCGTAATTGGATATGTTGCGTTAGAAAAAAAAAATAATTGATAATAATATTTTTATAAGTATTAGTAAAATATAAATTAATATGTTTTTTACACAAGATAAAAAAAAAATGAATCTTAATAAACAAGTTTTCATCTAATTGGAAAAAAAATTCTTATTCGATTCTTTGTTTCCTTTCGATGTTCTCGAAATAAAAAAAACAATTTAAGAGAGAAAGAAGACATTTTATTATGTAATGCTTTGTAACAAAATATTATTACATTTTATTGATAATTTTGCTCGTTACAAATATAATGACCTAATAAATATAATTAATTTCTTTCATTTGTGTTTTACAAATATAAATAAATCTTGATAAATTAGCTTGTGATTAATTAAAAGAAATAATACTGTTCTTATGCTTTCATCTTATGAAAAAAGAAAAACGAGAAAATAAAAAAACAACCCAAAAAACAGTAAAATATCGTATAAGACAGGTAGGAAATAAAAATTTAAAAATCACTTTTACCCTTCCGATTCCCCACTCGCCTTCCCCCCAGTATCACCAAGATTGCAAATACATGCAAAGATGAATGCATGCATGCATACATGCATATACATGATCTCAGTCGTGTCGTGATGTTAAAGTTGAAACAAAGGCTATAAAGCGTGCATAGTTTACATTTAAGCTTTTCCATTTGACATTAAAGGGTGGTAAAGGGGTCTTCTGGCAAAGGATTGTAGAAGTGTACAGTGGGGGTGAAGGGTAGAGGGTTGGGTGAGGGGTAGATGCGAAAGCGACACAACGCACTCGATCTATCCTTCCGAGCATTCCATTTACCAAGTAGACACGCCGAGGGGATTTGCAACGTGGTAGGAATCCTATGTATGTTTCTTTATATATATATGAATATATATGTATATGTGCGTATGTACATATGTATATATGTATGTAACTATGAAGATATGTGTGAACGTATAAATGTATGTATGTACGATATGTACGAGTGAGTAAGAAAGAACAAGTTGTATGTATGAATGTATGAATGTATGGTGTAAGTGAGTGAGTAAGTGAGTGTGTGAATGAGTGAATGAATGAGTGAGAGAGAACAAGAAGCTCGCCTAACTCACGTCGCCGTGACGATTTCACAAGCGACGTAGCCGTCGGATAAACGCGCAGGAACTGTTTCCTTCGTTCTCTAAACATCGAATTTATTGCACGTCGCATCGCCCTAGGATACTTTAATCCTTCTTCCTTCTTCTTCGACTTTCGCTTCCTTTCTCTCTTGAGACGAGTCGATGTTCTCCTACTACATCACGTTTCATGTAATCCGACAAATTTTATCTGTTTGATTATAAAAGGTTTCTATATTTTTTTTTCTTTTTTATTTCACTTGTTTTCTTTTTTTTTTTGTACATTATGATCAACATTTATAATAAAATATTGGTAAATGATTTAAATCAAGTGATCAATATTAGATCAATAATTATCAGAAATTTTTTTAATAGATGATAAGAGTATTTATAATAAAATATTGGTAAACGATTTAAATCATGTGGTTAATATTATATCAATAAATACAAAAATTATTTAATAGACGATCAGTATTTAGAAATAAATATTAATTACATTAATATATTAGTTAATGTATAATAAAATATACATAATGTATATAAAATATTATTTTCAATGTCCTTTGTATCAAAATATAATTAAAACTATTCCTATTTACATATATGTACTGATAATTTATTAATTATTTGAATACACACAATATATTTTACAATTCATTTAAAATCATAAAAATAAATGGAAATGATTATCAATTTATTTAAAATAAAAAAATCTAAATATTTCTCATTCTTTTTCTTATAGAACTTTTTTTTTAGATAATTAAAAGACAATACGTCTAATGAAATTAAAATTAGCTTCATTTTATGTGACGTATGTATTTTGCGACGTGAAAAATTACAATGGAAGAAAAAAAGGGTGCTCGAAGGACACGCTAAAGGATCCCTATTTTTTTTCTCTCCCTTTTTTTTTGCTATTGCGTACGTGTGTGTTTGTGTGTTATTTCTGTAGCTTGAACTTCCGATAAAATTAATGTACATGCTGGTATTAACTCGCTCAGCAACGTAAATGGGTTAATCCATTAAATTCCGTGATCTCGGTAGTAGTACAACTTTTCGACGATGTATCGCAATACTTAGGTATAAACAAACGACTGGCGAGATAATAGATGGAAGTGCAAGATCGAAGCTAGAAAGTTAGAAGCTTCGTGGTATGCTTTTCTCCTATCCTTCATAATCCAATACGCATGCAGATATTTTCATAACTACATGCACACATATTAACTAACTACACACACACACTCACACGTAGGTTCATTTAATTAACATCTGCGTGAAATCTCTATTAAAAAAAAAAAAAATACTTTTTCATTTCGTGATTTTACAAACGATATTCGAAGTATTTCGAAGTTTCAGAACGATAATAATAATTTTCGATATTAACAATTTCAATTGTCAAACAGACCAATTAAACATTCCAATCCCTTTTGTATCGGCAGGGAGAAAAATCTTTAAAAAAAAATACCCCCAGACTGGGTTTAAAAAAAATATCTAATTCTATTGGAATTCAAGTATTATTTGTGACATAACTTATAAATTAAAAATCATCATGTACTATTGTATTGAACCTGACGCAACTCATTGTCAAACGTAATTTGCTTAGATCGATAAATTGGATACAGCGCATATGCAATTAATTTATTTTTCAAAAAATTATTTCAACTTTTCTTTATACTTTGAATTATCGATAAATAATATCTTTTATTGCGTTTAAAATCGACTATTTACGTAAACCACAAAATTGAACAACACAATGCATACGACTGATAGGCAATTAATTTATATTTTTAAAAAATTATTTCAACTTTTGTTTATACTTTGAATTACGTACGTATATTAATAGCGAAACAATGATTATCGATAAATAATATCTTTTATTACATTTGAAATCGATTATTTCCGTTTGGTAGGACAACTCAAGACAAAATGAATTTCAATAGCACGGAAGAATGGCTTATTGATTTTATTCCTTCCGATTGTAGTTCACTAATGGCAAACGTTTCAAATCGTGTAAATGACAACTGACTATCATATATAATTCTTATCCCTTTTCTATTATTTCTTGGTAATATGAAAAAGAGAGAGAGAGAGAGAGAGAGAGAGTAACGATACCTTCTCTTCAAGCACACATATACACACACATATGCATCATACATTCAATTTCATATATATTCGTACACATGTAGAAGATCAACGCTCACACATAGTAACTGATGCAAGATAAGCCTGATTGACGGACATTTCTGAACGTCGAGCATCGTATTTCTGATCGCTTATTGCTCGCCTATCAAACGGACGTGATTGTCGTTTGAATCCCGTTCGAGTTGCCGCGAATAATACGATTTACGGATGGTTAACTTCCCGATCGAAAAAGAAAAAGGAAATGAAATAAAAAGTGAAAGAGGTAGGAGTGGGAAACGAATGAATGAAACTTCTTTGATTTTTGATCCTTCATTGTTAATAATTTTTCTTATTCTATTAAAATGCGAACATATTGTAACATAAATCAGTAAATTAGAAAATAACTAATTCGTTTGTCTTTTTTAAAAAATAAAAAGAAATTAGATTAATTTATTTATTGTATATCAATAAGACAAGTGATTATAATTAGAACTAATTACGACGTCGAGCTAATTTTTAAGGAATGAAAAAAATTAAAAACCGTAATATCAATTTTTCTTTTTAAAATTCTTTCATACTCAATTCCATTATTCTTCTTTAAATAAGTACCAAAAACAATTAAGAATGGTTAAAAAAAAAAAATTCTACTTAATCATACAAAATATACACTTGTGAGAATAAAATCCACTTGACAGATCACAAAGCTTGGTCAAAGCTAATTCCAACAACACATTATTATAAACACAGCAGACGTCAAAAAAAAAAAAAAAGAAAAGAAAAGAAACAAAGCAAGACAAAAAAATAGTTAGGATATGTATCCCAGCGAAAAGATCCTCTTATCTCGGGAGTATTCTTCAGCATGCATGGGTAGGAGGAGAAGGAGGATTCCCGTGACCGTGGTGGAAAAAGTTAAATTTCTCTGAGGAACGACGACGGAAAATGTGAATTGGAGTGTCCAAAGCTAGGATCACCAAGTTGGGGCGGGGGAGTGATAGGGGGAAACATAGAGGGGTGGTTTCACGTAGGAATGTCGAGGTGTTTAGGTTGGTATGGGTAAAAAGAGTTAGACGGCCGATTGAGAGCTACCATCGGTAGGGGGTGTTTCGAAAAGAAAGATGTAGAAGAAGAAGAAGAAGAAGAAAAAGAAGAAAAAGAAAAAGGCTGTGTTGTCGACGGTCCCAAGCGTACGAACGATGGAACGAGTTGAAAATCCTTTTTACCGCATGAAAGTTGAGGGACGCCGTTCTCAACCCACAGACATATATATATATACACCTATTCCAACCTATACATACACCCACCCCATTTTCCACCTCCTCATATAACCCCTGTCCTCCTACCTCTACCCCTCCCCTTACCAGTTCCTACCATCTACCCCCGGTAGCGAAGTCTCAAACCGTGGGTGTTGCATTCGCTTCGGTTGCCAGTCGAAAATTATAAAAAATGAAAATTTTCCGACAGCTCTGACATACACAATGCGAAAGCTTTCTTCCCACGGCAAAGTTCGCTTCCAGTCCGTCGGGAACGGTTCTTAGAAACGGTTTTCTCACTGAAATTCCTCTACTTCGAAAGTTATTCTAAACAAGTCGAACTGTGTGGAAATTATTGCGCCGGAACACCAA